TCGCCCCCGCCCCGGGCTGCCCTCGCTGGTTCGCCCGCGGGGTCCTGCACCCCGAGGACCCGCAGCCCCGGCTCTTCCTCCGCAGCCAGCGCCATCCTCCAGCCCTCAGCCCCGGGGACTGGCACCCTGCGCTGCCCTTGCCAGGGGACCCTGCACCCCGGAGACTGCACGTGCTGGGCCGTTCCCTGCACCCCAGACTCTCCTCTGCTCTAGCACGCGGGGACACGGCCCGCTGACACGCCTGTGCCCTCAGCTCCCCTCCAGCCGGACACTCTGTGTCCTCGGGTTTCCTTTCCAAGGATGAGGCCCCTAAGGCTCCTCCCGACACACCCAGCTGTGCCTTTGCTGTTGTGCAAACTGTTGGTGGGCACAGCCTTTGTGGGGGCCCCCTGGCTGCCTACCCACCCCTCCATCCCTCCAACTGCTGCCTGGCACATCTCCCTGCTTCCAAGCCCCACAGCCCCCTCAGGACCCTGCTAGGCTGTGTATGAGAATGCCTTTACCAGGAGGTTTTACCTCTGTGTGAACCCACTAAGTTTCTTTTACACTGAGCGGTGTAGGGCTCTGTGGGGGCTCCTGGCCTCCCTGGGTGCACCTGGCTCATAGCTGGGTCCACATCTTCCTGCCAGGGCAGGTGGCATCACCCCTACTACCCATACCCCCTGACCAGCGGCACCGCCTGCATTCCAGACAGGATCCGTGCGGAAGGGGTCTGGGTGCTGGAGCAGCAGTGGGGAGTGAAGAGGACCTGATCCCCACTGGCTGAGGCTGCTGCTGCCATAGTCCTTACTGAACCAAGCGCTTCAGAGAAGCTGGTGGATGAGCCCCCCAGGCTCAGTGGGACACAGGGCAGGGCGCTGCAGACCCTGCCTGCTCCCCACACACCTGCACGCCTTCCTTGAACCAACATTTCCAAGCCGGGCCAGAGCCGGAGCCGCCCTAAGATGCTGTGAGCTTTCCAGCAGCTGTGGAGCAGCTGTCGGGGCCAGCACAGGGGCCGGGGCTGTGGCAGAAAACCCATGAGCAGCTCAGCTGGCTTTAGGGGCGGATGTGGTGGGACCCCGCTCAAGGACATGGTGGGAGTTTGGAGCCCGCTGCCGCCAGGCTTTGTTCTCAGAGCAGCAGCTGCAGCCCCTCCCCAGACTCCACCTCCGCAGCCCACCCAAGACCCTCCTTCCTGTGCACAAGCGTCTGAATGGTGTGCAGAGCTGGTGGGCAAGAGTTGCTCTCGGCAAAGCAGAGAAGTACCTTGGGTGGTAGAGATACCATCGGTAGGAACCAGAGGCAACAGGGCACCAAGCAGAAGGAGCCAAGTCCCAGGTGGGCTCAGGACATGGAGCAGGATGGGGCAGGTGCTTGGCTCTTGGTCAGGGAGAGGCAGGGTCGCTGCAGCACCACAGCTCTGCCCTGGCCCTGCTCCAAGGCTGGGTACCCCGAGGCTGAGCCGGCACAACCTGTTCCCAAGCCATGCTACCCCAGCAGGCTCCGTCCCGCACGGCTGCCTTCCCCCCTGCCCCTTCCCTGCCCTCCACTCAGTGGGCTCAGTGGCTGCTTACATGGGAACAGTGGCCTCACCTTCCCATGCTTCCCCTGACCTTGGCTGCTCAACCAGGACTCACGCTCGGGCACTAACCACATCCCTGCTCGTCCTGGTCCTGCCAAGCACGAACCGGCTGCTTCTGTTCCTTTTTGCAGATGTGTCCTGCTACTCCCTGGTGTGACCGCCCTGGCTCCTTCCCATTGCCCATCTGTGCTCCAGCCCAAGTGCCTGGCCCCAGCCTGTCTCTGTCACTCCCACCGTCCCCATTTTTTATAGGGTTTTACACCCCTGCAGCTGGCATGGGGGAGATGTAGCACTGCACAGCAGCCACAGGCCGGCTCTGGGCAATGCCGGGAAGCATTCGACTTCCCACAGCCAGTTCCTGCCCCCAGCAGAACCTTCCAGTAGATGAGCAAGATAATTTTCCTTGCAATTGCTCATCGTGGCAAGAGCTGCAATTATTAATGACCATTCCAGCTGCTGGATCAGAGCAGGAGGAGGGGCTGTTCCCCACGCCCGCTGCCCGAGCCCGTTCAGCCGGAGGTGCCGGCGCGGCCTCGCGCTCGTCCTTGGGGACAGCAGCTGCAGCACATGAGCCAACGCTTGGCTGCTCTGCGCTGGAGCCTGCCCACAGCTGCTGCACGTGGCCCACACGTGCCCCATGACTTCTTGACCCCTGAACAGGACTTGGGGCCAGCAAAATGGGGACTAGGGGGACACCCCCAGTAAAGTGGGGACCCCTCCTGCAAGGTCCAGCACCATTTCCTCTTGCTGCAGCTTAGGCCCCCAGATTAATTGCCGCCTCTGTTAGCAGCCCTGCCTGCTACAAAGACAAAGGGACAACCTCGGTGACACATGGGGTCAAGCCTGGGCTGACACAGACAGCTGAGGAGAAATCTGAGGCAAAGATTTTCCCCAGAAAGCTGGAAGGAGCTGAGTCAAGCCCCAAGGGGGAGCAGGCTGAGGGCTGAGAGTGACCTTCCCAGCCGGCCACACCTCGCTCGGCAAAACCACAGGCCTGGAGGCAGCCGGCACTTGCAGAGAAGTGTTTATTAAAGGCACTAAAAGCACCGTGGCTACAGCAGCAGCAGCCCGACTGGAGAGTGCGGGTTTGGGAGAGGCATTTACAGGCCCGGGACGGCGGTGGCAAAGCGCTCTTTGGTAGGAAGCCGTGCCCGAGGCCGGTGATCGGCACACGCTGCCAGCCCGTGGCTGGGGGGGCCTGGCACACTGCCCTGCTCTCCTGCATGGCAGGGCAAGGAGTGCTGCCACACACCAGCCCCAGGGCAGCGGCAGGCCAGCTAGCTGGGGGGCACATGGCACAGCCCCCCCACCAGCTCACAACTGGGATAGAAAGTCCCCCCTAGCAGTTTGCAGGGAAGCAGGGCTGAGTCTCCAGCCCTAAGCACACAGCAGGGAAGGTGTGGGAGAGATTGGGAAGTGGCTGACCCTCACCCCCTCAGGGATGTGCTAGGAGCACCCCTGCCCCAGCACTGAGCTGCCAGGCAGCTAGGTCCCAGCTCAGCACAGGAACAGCCCTGCTGTGCCAGACCCTCCTGACTCCCACCTCGACACAGCCACAGCCACCACGCTGTGTGGCTTGGGGGCTGCAGATCCATGAAACATCCCCTTCCCAGGGCTCCTAAGGCCAGTTGGGGGGCACACAAGAAGCCATTCAGCTATAAGGGGCTCTGGACCCAGCACCACCTCTAGCTGGAGCCAGGCCAGGAGCTGCCAGTAAAGTGGCAAGAGCAAAAGGAAGGGGTGAGGGGTCAGCCTGACTCTCTGAAGGAAGAAGGGCAGGGAAGAGAGGAGCATGCAGGGCCAGGGGCACGCGTGGGCACAGTAGAACTCCTGCTCCTCACACGTGGGAGAAAGCATGGCTCTTGCAGAGTGGCTTGTCCTTCTTGGAGTAGAAGGTCTTCCCTTCCAGGTTGGTCTGGCAGATCTAGGGAGGAAAGCGCAGCCGGTGAGGTCAAGGGGGCTGAGTCAGCCCCCAAGCGCTCCCCAACAGCTCAGCACAGGTGGCACACAGATGCCAGGGAGCAGGAGGCTCAAAGCAGGGCCCTGAGCCACCAGAACAAAGCCTAGTGGGGCAAACCTTGTGGCAGCTGCAACCCCACACTGCTGGTGTACCCCAAGCAGGGCACGACTACCAGAGAGAGCCATGGCCCCTCCGGCAGCCAGGGAGGGAGGCACAAGACTCACTGCACAGACGAAGCAAGTGTCGTGCCAGCTGAACCCCAGCGCCTCCAGGAACCGGTCCCCAGCGTCAATCTTGAAGTCACAGCCACGGCACTTGGTGCCAAACATCTTCTCATAGTCTGCGAGCAAAGGCAGAGCCCAGGTTAGCATTCTTGTGCACCACAGCCCCTCATCCCCAGGGAGCAGGGCTCCAGCAGAGCCAGGATCCCTCAGGCACAGCCTGGGGACAACTCGCTGCCAGTGCTGGGGGGACTATGCCCAAGACACCCTGATGAGATGCCTGTGTCACACAGGCTGGCCCCAGTGCCACTAGGCCACAGGGAGGAGTGAACATCATCTCCCAGGATGCAGCACTTGGCTTTGATGTACATCCTCCTCATCACCATGGCAACACAGGAGTGATAGTGCCACCCAGCAGTCCGGGAGGCCCAGGATGGAGCGCTCAGGGCTGAGGAAGGGGGGGTCCCTGTGCTCCCCATGGCCCCAGGGGAGCCTTGCAGTGCAGGGCAGCTCAACCCTCCACCCATGTGGGCAGCTGCTGAACCCTAACTGTGCCTGGTGTCCCAGGGCCACGTGGGGTGGTAGATGGGGTCCCTGGATCCTACCTCTCTCGCAGTAGGGCTGTCCCTCCTCCATGTAGAAGGCACGGTTGCGGATGGGAGTTTTGCAGGCAGCACATGTGAAGCACTGCACGTGCCAGGTCATCTTCAGAGCGTGCATTACCTCCTGGAGGGGAACCACTGTCAGCCAGGGGCAGGACCACCCTGTGCTGCAGGGGAACCCCACCCAGGGCAGAAAGGGACAAAGGAACCCATGGGATGGGATCAGGAGAGGAAGGGACAGAACCAGGCACCCATCGATGAGCGAGGAGCAAGGAGAGGAGATGCTTGACAGGCTGAGGGAAACTCACCCCAGTGATCTTCTTCTTGCACTTGGCACAGCTGGGCGCATAGCGCGTGTCATAGCACTTGGGGCAGAAGATGGAGCCTTTCTCCTCAAAGAAGCCACCCTCATCCAGCACCTTCCTGCACTGGCAGCAGGTGAACTCCTCAGGGTGGTAATAATGTCCCAGCGCCACCAGGTATCGTCCCCTGCAGCAGGACAGAGCCACGTCAGCCAGGCTGGGGCCCAGGGCACTGGCGTGGCAGCAGTGGTGGCCAGGGCTCACCTGATGACCTTGTTGCACTTGTAGCAGAGGGGTGTGCGGCCGGGCCCTTCGGGGGCCTGCTGGGCTGCCTGCACGATGGAGCTGCGGTTCTGCATGGGGGTCGGCGTGGCCGGCTGGCTGTGCTTGCTCACCACCGTGCTGGTCTTGTCCGGGGCGTAGCGCTCGGCAAACGAGGGGTCCACAGCCCAGGGTGGGCGGCTGGCAGGGCCAGGGGTGGCAGTGGGGGTCCTGGGGGCTGCAAGCACACGCAAGTCTCCAGGACACTGCTCCTGACCCCTTCTAGTGCCCGTGGCTGGGCAAGCAGCATCCCTGGCAACCGTGCCCTTCTCCCCCCAAGCCCAGAGGAAATGGTTTGCTCACCCAGTCCCGGCTCAGTCTTCATCGCTGCTCCTGGGGATGGGTCCGGCATGGAGACCTGGCTACAGAACCAGCAGTTAATCCACCTGTCCTGCTTTCCCCTGCTGCCCAGAGGGCCTGTGTGTGCAGGCAGGGCCCCCCCATCCCAACAAGCAGGCAGAAGCTGGCCAAGCCCCCCTGTGCCCAGCCAGTAGCTGGTTTGGGGATGGGGTACTGAGCCAAGTGTCTTCAGCCCTGTAAAGACACAGCACCCCTGGGGTCTCTGGTACTCATCACAGTGGTCTGGGGGGCAGCAGGAAGCAGCACAAGCCTGCTAGGGTTCCATGCCCAGCTCTAGGGTCTCACACTCAGCCCTGGGGTGCTCCAGACTGAGCAGGGAACCCAGGGACCACACAGACCCTGACTGCCCGCTCACACACACAGTGCTCTTCCCCATCCTCATTGGGGTGCAGAGGGGCTTGGACCTGACCAGGCACAGGGAGTCCTGGGGTCCAGCCCCAGCAGAGCTGGGCACAGGCAGGATCTGTCATCCCCTGCTGGCTAGGCAGGGCCAGGCTGAGCCCCCCAGCAGGCTGCCAGCTCTGGGCTGGGGACCAGGCAGGGCAAGCTGGGGCCAGAGAAGCATGGCCCACTTGTGATGGGGACTGGGATAGAGGTAGAGCCAGTGGTTCTGTGCCTCTCCAGGGCACAGAAAAGACGAAGACAGCTACAAAACCAGGATCATTTATTTGCAACAGAGCAAACAGGGCAGAGCTGGGTCACAACAGTCAATAGCACCAGGGCAGGAGGCAACAACAAGAGGCAAAGGTGAAAAAAGGGGAGCTGTGCAGCACTCCATGGCCACAAGGGGCAGCAAACAGCCCTGCCCCAGCTCTGGCTCCCTGCCCCACGCAGGGAGAAGCTTGAGATGCTAACCCAGCTCTGCCTGGATGCCCTGCAGCCCCATGCTAGGCTCACAGTGTGCAATAGGTCCAGGTGCTGCCCAGACATCACAATACCCTTTGCCAGTGCCACCAGCCACCCCCAACCCACTGTGTCTGGGACATGGCTGCAGTTTGGCATCCCCAGCTTGGTGCCAGCAATGCCCAGTGGGTCCTGCCTCAGACATGCAGTCTGGTGGCTCCTACTGCTGCCCTGATGAGTGCTCCCCTTACCTCGGCCTTTTAACAAATACATCATCATGATCCTCCACTGAGCGCAGCAGGAGAAAAAGGAGGAGACAGAGTCAGTCTGTGGCAACCAATGCCCAGGGACAGCAGGAAGGGAAAGCAAGGAAAACTGACCTCTCCTCCCACCACCCTCCTGCCCCAGCACACAGCCCTGCCCAGCCATGGACAGGGACACACCAGGAGCCCATGCACAGCCCTGGGCAGCTCTGACACCTCAGCCTGCCTGAGGCGCCACAGGGACCAAAATCAAGCCCCTGGTATCACATTACCTCACAACCTCTAGCAGATTCTGGCTACCCCAGGACCCCTGGGCAGCCAGTGCCAGGCCCCGTGGGAACTTACAGCCATCTGTGCCCGTCATCCGGGCCAGTTTGCGGAAGGAGCGGGACTGGGAGGTCCCAGTGCGGGGCTGCCAGTCCTCAGCATCCTCTATCAGCCGCAACTTCCCAGGGTCACACACAGGGGTGCTGGGGGTCTCCAGCGCCTGGGGGGGCTGCCTGCGAGTGACAGAGGGCAGATGCTCAGCCAGCACTACACGTGCACTCTGCTTTGGCACGGGGTAGGGCTCTCAGAGGTGCCCCCTCACAGCCCGACCCCTCCACTAGATCCTGGCACTCACCACTGCTCCCCTGTGCCCCAGCTGGACCCAGCGGCATCCCTGTGGCATTGGAAAAAATGGCGGCACAGAAGTCAATGGCTAACCCATAGCTCAATGCACTCCTCCTGTACACACCCCCAGCCCCACAGAGCCACAAGCCCCACGAAGATGTCAGCAGCATTCACTCACAAACCAACCTTGCAGCCTCCCAGGACATTGTGCCCCAGCTCCAGGTGCTGCCCAGCACCTCCCAACACCCTGAGCAAGGTGTTCCTAGTGCCAACAGCTGCCCCTACCCACTATGTTCAACACACCATGCTGCAGATTGGTCTCCTCAGCTTGGTGCCAGCAGTGCCCGGTGGGTCCTGCCCAGCACGCTCAACACATGAAGATCCCCCTGTCACAACACTCTGGCTGGTGACAGCCTGCCTGGCAGGTGGGTACCTGGGCAGGACCCTCCCAAGGTGACAGTCAGAGCAGTGGGTGAGCGCTGGTGGTGCCTGTTGTGCAGCTCTGCCAACAGCTTGGCTCTGGGAGGTGGAGAGGACAGAGGAGGAGCAAAGAGAAGAAACAGCAACAGGGCAAAGAGCTTTCTCACAGTCACTGCAAGCAGTGAGAGGGCAAACCAGCCAGGTGGACTGAGCCCCAGGTGGACGCCCCAGTGCAGCCCTGGCACACGCTCCCCTTACCTCGGCTTTTTAACAAGCTCATCTTCACGATCCCCCACTGAGCACAGCAGGAGAGAAAGGAGGAGACAGTCAGTCTGTGGCAACCAAGGCCCAGGGACAATGGGAGGGGAGGGGAGGGAAGGGAAGGACAGGGAAGGGGAAAGGAAGGAAAACTGACCTCTCCTCCCACCACCCTCCTGCCCCAGTACACAGCCCTGCCCGGCCATGGGCAGAGCACAGCCCAGCACAGGGACACACCAGGAGCTCACGCACAGCCCAGGGCAGCTCCAACACCTCAGCCTGCCTGAGGCGCCACAGGGGACAAAACAAACATTCTGGTGCCACAATGCACCACAGACTTCATCCAGCTCCAGCTGCCCAGCTTTGCCCTGCGCCTGGGCCACCAGTACCTGGCCCCATGGGAACTTACAGCCATCTGTGCCCGTCATCCGGGCCAGTTTGCGGAAGGAGCGGGACTGGGAGGTCCCGGTGCGGGGCTGCCAGTCCTCAGCATCCTCCACCAGCCGCAACTTCCCGGGATCACACACGGGGGTGCTGGGGGCCTCCAGCGCCTGGGGGGGCTGCCACTGAGTGACAGAGGGCAGATGCTCAGCCAGCACCACACGTGCACTCTGCTTGGGCACGGGGCAGCGCTCTCAGAGGTGCCCTTGCATGCCCTGACACTTTTGCAAGGCCCTGGCACTCACCACTGCTCCCCTGTGCCCCAGCTGGACCCAGCGGCATCCCTGTGGCATTGGAAAAAATGGCGGCACAGAAGTCAATGGCTAACCCATAGCTCAATGTATCCCTCCCATACACACTCCCAGCCCCATAAAGAACCCTGTGACTATCACCCAGCTCTCCCTAGCCACCCCACAGCCCCATGCTATCTCACAGGGCATTGTGCCCCACATCCAGGCATGACCCAGCACCTCCCAACACCCCCAGAAATGCATCACCAGTGCCACCAGCCTCCTCCAGATCCCATTTGCTCAAGAAGCAACAGTGCAGTTCGGCCTCTCCAGCTCAGTGCCAGCAGTGCCCAGAATCCTGCCTGGCATAGCCAGCATGGGGACATCCCATATAGGGACAGTTTATGTGGCTGTCTGTGCCCAGGCAGGACCCTTCCAAGTTGACAGACAGAGCAGTGAGTGAATGCTGGTGGTGCCCATCCTGAGGTGAGCAGAGGGCGGGCCCTGCGGCTACACCAACAGCTGAGCTCTGAGGAGACGACAGAGAGCGGACGGGAGGTGGAAAGAAGACAAAGCAACAGGGCAGAGAGCTTCCCCAGAGTCACTGCAAGCAGGGAGGTCAAACAAGCTGGTGATAGTTCTGTGCAGCCATCATCTAGCCCCACAAAACATTGCGCCCCAGGTCCAGGTGTTGCCCAGCACCTCTGATCACCCATAGCCAGGTTTTGCTAGTGCCTATAGACTCCCCCAGACTCCATTTGCTCCAGAGGCCATGGTGCAGCTTGGCATTCCCAACTCAGCACCAGCAGTGCCCAGAGTCCAGCCCAGGATGTGCAGCCCTGTAGAAAGCTCCTGCTGCTGCCCTAGCACCCACTCCCCTTACCTGGGCTTTTTATCAAGCTCATCCTCATGATCCTCCACTGAGCATAGCAGGAGAGAAGGGGGAGACAGAGTCAGTCTGTGGCAACCAAGGCCCAGGGACAGCAGGAAGGGAAGGACAGGGAAGAGAAAGGAAGGAAAACCATCTTCTGCCACCACCCTCCTGCCCCAGCACACAGCCCTGCCCAGCCACGGGCAGAGCACAGCCCAGCACAGGGACACACCAGGAGCCCATACACAGCCCAGGGCAGCTCCGACACCTCAGCCCACCTGATGGGGCACAGGGGCCAAAACCAAAGCCCCACTGCCCCATTGTAGCCTTTGTGGGGTTACAGCTGCCCAGGCAAAGCTGGGTACCATCAGGCC